CCCAGATAGTGACAATCGTTTTTCGTGTGGGACATCACATTCGTGGTCAAACCGCAAAATGTGGTGCACTGCAAACGTCGATTGACAACTTTATTGGTCATTAATTGACTGGGCAACTCATTCTGTGCACCAGTGAGCACTTTCGTTAACGCAGCACCGGAACAAGTGGGCCCGACAAGTTGACACCCAGCTTTGCCGGTCAAATTCAACCCGACACAAGCAACGCCCGGAGGATTTTGTGAACACGTGGTTACGAACAATTCGGGCAAATCATATTGGGTCCGCAATGAACCGCTTGGTTTGGTCCAGTTCAAATAGGTTGGCTCACCGAATAATGAATGAGTCCAGTGTAACACAGGACGAGTGGGCATACGTTTATCCAAAACCAGCATGTTGTACGCGGTCCCGGCCAGAACATACAAATCTTCAAGAAATCGTGGGCCAACAGCAGTGAAACGATCGGTTGAGTGGAACAGGCTGTCGAGGGCGGGATCACCGGAACGAAACTGAAACAAACAATGAGCTACGGAATTTTGCCGTGTGTCCATTAAGAGCATACGCTGACTGGTGGTCAGGCATACCTGACTCGGATCTGATCCGTAACCGATTCGGAGGAAGTGATCAAACGGGGCGGATCGAAGACCATCGGTGAACACAGAAAATCGTGGATGTGTTTTCGTACCGGGTTCAAACGCAGTAAATAAGCTAGTCTGTACATTATCCGCGGCATTTACGGAACCCGCACTCTCACAACAGGCCTGGTTTATTCCAGATATTGTCTCCCGAGGATCGTCTAGTGCCACCTGACCGGACCAGATAGGTAAGGTTGAATCTGTGGTATACAAACGAATAAATGCTGTCCGATCACCGGCTGACGTGATGTGATTGCCCGCAACAGCCCATTCATCCGTCAGCCATGGATTGAAACACATGGTACTTCCACGACTTGGTAATAAAGGTCGAAACATATGCGTCATTGCACACGGTAATGATTTCGGCGAAGCAGACTCGTCCGAGTTCACATGGAACAGAATCACATTGTCCATCGTGCTGGACGTATCGGACCACCGAGTCAAGATATTCGCACGTGAACCAGTATCTGCATAGATCGCATCCAGTTCGCACAGGCGTGCAGAGCCGGATAACAACTTGGCGGGAATGCCCACATAGCCTACAAGACGTTCCTCTTGTGATGAGAATTCGGGGGACCAGAGAGAGAAGAACAACGCGCTTGAACAATCTCCATCCAAATCAGGAGGTTTTGGTGGAGACCACAGGAGAAGCGGATGGTCAGAATAAGCAGACGAGCTGGACAGGATCCCATGCTGAATCTGGCACAGTAGACCATTCCCCTGATACAATGGATTCACCGGTCGAGTAGCTAAACGAATCAGAAACGGATCCAATCCGGTCAACCAACGCGAGTACCCCGCACCGTTGCTGACATTTTTGGTATCAAATTGTGTTAGATTATTCAGAAATTGTGAAAACATTGGTGTGGTCAGGGATTTTTTAAGCCCAGTCCGAGGTCGTTTAGGTAGGTTGGAGTGGCGTCCTGGCGACGCATCAACTTCACCCATCAAAATTTGGCACAGTCGACCCCAATCATCATCACATTCAGCGGTTGAGCTCTTGGATAAACTGGAATTGATCAACGCATGGATTTTGCAAAGAATCGCGTCCTGCTCTTGAGCAGAGCAACACTGAAAGCCTGTTGAGGCAAGCTCTTCAAGTTGTTTTAAACATTCACGGATTGAATCGGGGCAAAATGGATTAGCCTGTTCACTATCCATACCGAACGCGGCTTGATTACGACGAAATCGCCCGTAGACCTTTCCGCAAAGTATTGAGGCCGCCGCATGGTCACCAGCAATGGGGTCGGACAAAGAGTTCGCTGAGTTGAATTCACTTCCGATCGTTGTAGATTCTTCCGGGGACTCGGTGGATTCAATTAACTGAGAATCCAATCGGCTCGAAGGAACTGGTTTCATAAAAGGCAGTATAGAGGACGCGTAGAAAGGAGAGAACAAAGGGATCGGTGTCTCGCCGCGATGGAGTTTGCCGGTCAAATCGGTCGATATTTGTGGAATGAGCTGTCGGTTTGAACAAGTGGAAGGGAAGAGAATAGGAATAAAAATGCTCCAATAAATAAATAAACTGATACACGTCGGTCGATAGCATACACAACATGAAACACCCAGTAAGAACTCTTAAAACGGCAAGAAAACCAGAGGTCATTAATGACGCTATTCTTGTGAGAAGTTTAAGCATAAGATTTCCATTGAAAAGTAAAATTATTTTCATCACTATCATCAGCAACATAGGGTAGCGAACCTCATCGATCGCTAATAAACTCGCAATGCATACAAAGCTAATGGTAATATGTAAGGTAGATAGGGATTAAGCCTATTATGATTGAGGAGTAAGAAAGTGAATCTATATGATTCACACACAGAGTGCACAATATAACAGTGCCTACTGTTTCAAGTATTCTGGTCTGATAAGAAGTGACAAAAAGAACGCCACTGCTGTCGGTTCGCTGCTACACACACACACACACACACCTAACCAACTAGTCACCTGGAAGACAAAAGATACCTACTCTACCTAAATAGCCCCGTGTCCACGGCAGACGATAGATGTGCATGCAAAATACCTGCCCTAACCAGTGAAGCTTACTGATCTGGGATAATTTTGTTCACCAATGACTGCTGCATCTCAACTATGGCCAGTTGTAAAAAGACCAACAGTAAAACTGTGTTCAACCCGGCCGTGGAACAAATGCCATATCAAAAACCGAAGGCTCATTTTTTTAATATATGAGTATCTGAGTACATATACTGAAAAGGAGATGAGCGTTGAGTGGTATTAGTTATTGTAACGTTTCGATCCCGAGTAAGACTCGTGGTCAAACAATGGCATATATATATATATAATTCAGAAAAAGCGATCTTCTGACATTATTGAAGTCAGTCATATGATAATCTCTCGAGTGAGATGCAAACAGTATTCAGTATTCGCGTAATACGCACTAGATGAACTGCTGCACACAGGTCGATAAGACGTTCGTCCTACGCGATGCTGTAATCGTTCCCCGACGTTTCAGGCGTCCGGTTCACAACGTTTAACCGGCAAAATATTCGAATTCCCCATTAAGAAGACAGAATGTAAGTGAGATTTCCCTTAGAGTATTGAATTTCCAGTAGGATAGGACCTTGTGGTGTTCAATCTCAGAGCTATGCAATACCATACATGTGGTCGTTAGGGGACACCTAGAGAGATTGGGTAGGAGGAACGTTGGATGTATTCGACGGACTGGGTCGATCAGGTTACTGAATTTGGAAGTGGTCTGCTACGTCCGTTGGTTTTCATTAGGTCACATGAAACGGCTAGCGTATTGTGATCTTCTAGAATAGAGTGATTGCCAGCTCGATATCATTGCTAATTCGATTGAACTCGTTGTGAACCATCAAGTAAATCCTGGATACCCTCGGATTAAGCAGAGCTGAATGCTACCAGACGCGTCCCCCGGTTGTGGATAGGGGGATACCTTCACCGAAGAAGATTATCTGTGAGTAAGTTGTGGCAAACCGCAACAAATAAGCAGCCGTGAACAAACAGCGGCGGTACTACCAGGGTGTGTTGGGCTTTAGGCTGGTCACCTGGCTCCTGTTTAAAAGCCGCATAAGCCCAATGACGGTGTTGTCACAAAGGTCGATGTGACTGGCCCTTAAAAGCTAAAGTCATTGAATACTTCACTTCTGAGGCGAGGAATTACTTCCAGGTGCCCTGCAGTTCGCACTTGGTTGTGCAAAGGCTAGAGGTGCGCCCTCAAAATAAAAAAACGCCGGATGACGCTGGGGACGTCCCTCGTACCAAACACCAAAGAAACTTCATGATCATGATCATGATCATATCTGGAACCGGCTTATCCTCCTCAAGGAGCCAGCCGCAGTAACGTAAAAAAGGTAAGTAAATTCAGCGCGGAATAGATCCAACAGTCGTGTGCTCCAGGGAACTACTCAATGATGGTACTCTGATCGTACTTGCACCTATCAAAAAGTCAATCCATTCTGCATGAATCAGCATTTC